TAGAATTCATGTCATGATAGTGGGAGCTGGGAGGAAACATTTAGGAACTAGAGGAAAGTTGTATTTTTCATTGTTGTTACATCGCAACTGGTGCAGTTTTCTATCGATTTTTGAAATCTAGTCCTTCATCTGATGTATAGTTACTAGATATTTTTCCTGATCTGTGAGTTTGCTTTTAACGCTGGGTGAAGTCTGTTGATGTGCATAAATGTCATGTCTTGAGAAGGTCCCGGTCCTCAATTGTCTTCTATTATGTGGATGCGAGCCTTGGTGAAGTAGTTGGTTACTCGCTGGAAGGATGTGGTTGTCTGCTCCTGTAGGGATTGACAGTCTTGGAAACCCGCAGGGACAGTTTTACCTTGTCCTACGGGGTCGCTGGGAACTGGAATTGGCTCAAAAGCAGTGAGTTTGAGTTCTTTATCGTGTGGATATGTTTCGTTATGTTCAGGAGTATAATTATATCTTGTATTAGGGCTCTTAACTTTGTCCTTGTTTTTCTCATTAATGGTCATCATGTTCCGAGTTTTCTTTTTAGGTCTTTTATCCTTCTTGAGTTTCTCTTTGTACGTGGTGTGACATATGGGTCTCGTTTCATTCTTTAGCAGGTAAAGATCCAATCTTTCCAGCGCCATCTATTGAAAAGGCCATCTCTTCTCCACTTAATGTGTTTCAGTCCTTCATCAAAAATCAAGTGTCTGTAGGCACTTGACTGTATTTCTGGATTCTCAGTCCTAACCCCTTGGTCTTGGTCTTCTTGTCTGCCATTGGATCAGTCCCAAGTTGTTTTGATGACTGTGGCTATAAAATAGGTTTTAAGGTCTGGGAGTGAAAGGCCTTCTACCTTCTGTTTTGTTTTTTATTTATCCTGCATTTCTTCCCTGTATGTATAAAGTTGGTTAGTTGTGGCTTTTGTTTTTGTTTTTGTTTCTTTGAAGAATTGTGCTGGGATCTGGTTTAGAATGGCATTGAATTTGTAAAGTATTTTTGGTAATATTGACCTTTTTTCAATTAGCATTGAATTAGCAATTTTGGTAATATTGACATTTTTCCATTAGACCAAAGAAAAGGGAAAATAGATCCCAACTTTTCATTTTGATCATTATAAATCTATTTTCCCCTTTTCTTCTGTCGTAGCTCATTTAGGATTTCCCTCCACCCGTCTGTCAATGTGTGACTTGTGTGTTGTGATGATACTGAAAACTATACCATCAGTGTTTTGCATACCAACAGACTCACCTAAGGTGGACCGGTTTCAGCAGCACTTCCAGACTCAGACACTAGGAAGGAGGACCTTTCGACTGACTTCTAAAAAAAACCCAGCCAGTGAAAACCTAAGGCTAGAGGCAGGACATTGTCAGATGCAGTGCCGGAACATGACCTCTTCTGGCTGGAAGGCACTCAGAATACTGCCATATCCCCAACCCCCACGACATGGGTCACTCATACCCAGCCTCCCACATCTTGAAGATATACAAGCTAACTGTTCATGCGATGGATAAATTCTACGTGTGTATGAAATCCTTTGCTCAGCCATTTTATACCCTTGACTAAAACTATGCTACTATCAACCAACCCGCCTTAAAACCCACGGGGCTCATTAGGATGTGCTGCAATAAAATGATCTGCAGATTTGCCCAAACACTTCTGTTTCGGAAGAAGTACGGCCAGCGTGCTCCTTAGAAACAAGGATGGAAAGCCTTCATCTTGCGAACTTTGGACATGTCAGGAGAGACCAGTCCCTGGAGAAGGGCATCATGCTTGGTAAAGTAAAGGGCACGAAAAAGAGGCAGGCCTGCAAGGCGATGGAGTGACACCCTGGCTGCGACAATGGGCTCAAGCACGGGAACAATTGTGAGGGTGGCGCAGGACCAGGCAGTGTTTCCTCCTGCACCTAACGACAGCACAAAATTACAATAATACCCCTAAAAGTCAACCGGGGACTTAGGGAAACAATAGCTGTTTCCAAGCGTGGATTTTGAGCTCTCCCTTGATCATAGCCCTAATATAAGAACAATTACCGTATATATTCAAGTATAAGCTGCCCTGACTATGAGCCAAGGCACCTAATTTTACCACAAAAACTACATTCAAAATGTGCAGTAGGTGGGTTGGAAAGGGAGAACCGATGACAAGGATCTACATGTGACCTCCTCCCTGGGAGACAGACAACAGAAAAGTGGGTGAAGGGAGACGTCAGACAGGGCAAGATATGACAAAATAATAATTTATAAATTATCAAGGGTTCAAGAGGGAGTGGGGAGCAGGGAGGGAGGGGAAAAAATGAGGAGCTGATGCCAGGGTCTTAAGTGGAGAGCAAATGTTTTGAGAATGATGAGGGCAATGAATGTACAAATGTGCTTTACACAATTGATGTATGTATGAATTGTGATAAGAGTTGTATGAGCCCCTAATAAAACAATAAATAGACAAATAGAATGTGCTGGGAAACTCGGCTGACACACAAGTATATTCGGTAGCTCTTACAACATGGCCCTTGCCTGGCACTCCCCGTCATGAAGAGATCACAGAAGACAGGGCTGTCCTAGCAGAGTGTGGTGAAGAAACCAGAGGGTGCCTGGCTACCAGGGATCATAGTGTCTGGGGGTCTTAAAGGCTTATCTCGGAACAAGTGAGAAGTCAGCTAAGTCCACACAGAAGATGTACATCAGTCTATATGACTCAACGATAGCTAATAATAAGGTCCAAACCCGAAGAAGGGGACAGTATCAGTGTATAAATCCTAAGTACCCAGTTTGCAGAAAGTTATGGCCAATAGTGGCAGCCTAAAATCCATTAGCAGGGTCTCTGCGTGAGATGAGCCTCCAGTAATCCCAACACATACACATAGCTAGGA